TTAGAATTGTGCAATATTTTGTTTAAAATAAATAAAACACAAATTCGTTTTTAATGAATTTAGTTTTAATATTAATACTAAATGTAAGTTTAAAATTCTACTGTATTTTGTATAAAACAAATGAAACAAATTCGATTTGTATTAATGTATTTAGACAAAATATTACATAGTTTGAATAATTTTAATATGTAATATAAGTTTAAAAATGTACATTTTGTCTAATATATTGACAAATATGCTTTTATCAGTTTTTGACTAAATATACCATTTTAATAATTTCACTACAAAATGTACATTTAAAATGGTAGAATATTTAATCTAAAATAAAACGCTATCATTATTTGTATTAATGTATTAGACAAATGTAATTTATTCAGACAAAATATTATACAATAACTGTTAAAAAAAAGTAATAATTTACACTGTAATATTTTCCTAAATAAAAAACATTTTATATTTAATGTATTTAGCCAAAATATTATACATTTTTAATATCAGCCTTTTATATTATTTGCCATAATATTTGTCCATTGTTGATGCATGTTAAAGCCAACACGTTAGCTTTGCGCTAATGATTTTAGATGGCTTATAATAGCTATTCATTCTAGCTTTTCCTTGTTTTCTTGTTAATATTGTTTAATATTCCCCAATTACCAAATTAAGTTTAATGCACTCCCTCTTCAATGTGATTTATTAATGCAGTATAAAGTGGATTCATTAGCTTCAAAAGAGAATGTGTAACAAATACAACATTTAGCCGACATAAAGTGGTGTTTTATGCTGTCTAGTGCCTGATTTACAGTGTCTTAGCACTAGCATGAGCGTGTTTTAACTAGCAGTTAGCATCTTTCAGAGCTCTCTGGCGGGTTTCTCCTCAAAGCTGATTTCTGGTGTATGTTGGTGGATTAGCGGCTAATGTAGCCTTTAACTGCAGGCTAAAGGGTTCAAATGCTTGCCTAATTATCCGGCTAACCGCTTTAATGATTAATGGATGCTCGCTACATGACTAATGAAATGTTTTCTGGGCGGGTTGTGCACATGGGTGGGCGCTCATTTTCCGACTTTCTGTTTCACGTCCTGTCACAAAAAAAACTATATACATGTATATATATATATGAAAAAATGTGATATTGATATTGACAAAAAAA